AAAGAGATAGATTATATAGAGCAAGAGGCCACTTTGATAATGTGCCTAAAAGATAGAAAATAAGTGGATTTGTAGCTCCTATAGAAAATATAGACCCATGAGAGTATGCATAGATGTATGCATTCTATGAACGTGTACTTGCGAGTATCTATTAGAGAAAAAAGAAAGATTAAACATTATGTGTAATAAGGGATAGATAGAGAAAGTAAATGTGTTGCATAGAAAAGTGGAAAGATAGTGGACTCATGAGAAGAGTCTATGGTTGGGTGTGAAGTACCAGTAGAGAATAAGGTGACCAGATGTCACACAGAGAAAGAGAAGTTGTAAATATGGAAGTGTGATACTTCCTAAGGTGAAATATAAGCATGCTTGGTAAGATATATCTTTGGTGTATCAAGAATAGATTTTGGTAAGTAATAAGAAATGAGAAAGTCATAGTAGTTGGCTTGCGATCAACTGAGGACTAGAAAAGATAAGTACCCAAGAATTTTCATGATTTAAAATGGGTTATGAGAAAAAAGAAAGATAAGTTGTGAATCAGTGATGAGATGGTAATATTGAAACATGGTAAGTATGATGTGCATGCAGTGTGTGGGAACTGCAGACACATGGTACTCATTGTGGTTCAATGGAGCCACTAAGTTACTTGAGGATCAACTGGTTAAAAGAGGAAAGAGATAGCATGGTAAATTGAGAAGAATTTTTACCATGAAAAGATAGAATACTTGTGAACTAGGGAATGTTATGGTGAGGTTGAATCTAGATAAGTACAATGTGTATATAGAAGTATAGGTTTTGCATACAGACCACACTTAACACGATTCAATTAAAACATTAAGCTACCTAAGGCTCAAGTGTTGGGATAAGAAATATAATTATAGTATTTGTAAGAAAGTGCCATGAATAGACGAGACTTGAGATCTCGGTAATAAAAAAGAGATAGAAAGCTTGTTAATGGTGTTTTGATGATTAGAGTTAATTATGTTAGATTAGAGTAAGAAAAGCTTCTTAGTAGTGTTAAAGAAGGTAGTTAGATGCATTTAACAAGCTTTGTATGTGATTTCCATGCTGAAATCAATGTATGAGAAGTTAGGGTTTGAAAACCTAACTTATGAGATTATGTTAATTGATGCATTAGATGATAGATTATGGTGAATTGAGTATTATGGTATGCCTAATTCACCAATTAAATGAGATTAATAGATAGAGAATGAAAAGATATACTAAGGATCCATTACGTGGTTATGTTAACTTCTAAGAGTTAAAGCTCTTCATAGGCTAAGACAAGTATTAAGAACTTGTATGTACATGTGATTAGGTATAAGAGCAAGAAAGATGGATCCAAGATGCATCAATTGAGGAAAAGAGCCAAAGTAGGACAAAGAGGAAGGAAATATAGGGTTATATAGATTATAACCCTATGGAAGATTAAGTAGTTGTTATATATGTAAGACATGTATTTGAGTATGTATGTATAACCAAAGTATATACAAGTGGGTAAAGAAGAATATAGGTATTGTGAGGTATACCCATGAGAGTAAATAAAGAAATAATAGGATTATATGTAATATAATCCTATGTATGAGTAGATGATAAGAAAGGTATCTATGGATACCTAAGAGATACAATATGATTATATGTAATATAATCATAAGAGTATGTAAGTATTTTTAGCTACCATTAGTATTGTAGAATGATATATGGTACTAGAGATAGATAAAGTTTAAGTACTTAACGAGTTAAGTACTAGAAGAAAAAGATTAGAAGGTCTCTTAATGAGACATAGAGATAAATGTTCCTTCGAGGACAAAAGACAAATTGTTCCTACAAAAACATGAGTATGGTTCCTACGGGGATAAAAGATAGAAGATTCCTATAGGAATAAGAGTAAGGTTCCTATATGGACAAAAGATATAAGATTCCTTTGGGGATAAGAGTAAGGTTCCTATAGGGACAAAAGAGAGAAGATTCCTTTGGGAATAAGAGATAGATAGTTCTTCGGGGACAAGAGCATGGTTCCTTTGGGAATAAGAATATAGTTCCTACATGAAAAAGAGTATGGTTCCTAGGGGAACAACAATAAGGTTCCTTCGGGGACAAGAGTATGGTTCCTAAGGGGATAAAGAGTATGATTCTTGCGGGAATGACTTTATGTTCGTATAGGAAAAAGACAGATGATTCCCTCTGGGAATATAGATAGATGATTCTTCCGAGAATCTACAAAGGGTATGGTTTGAAAACATGGAGAACGGTTCACTGCGAGGAACAAGATTAGAGATTTATTTGTAAGAACTTGGATGTAAACCACGAGGGGTTAAGAGTAAGGAGTCCATGAGGGATTCAAGACTAAGAAGAAGAAATAAGGATCCACGAGGGATCACAAGAGAGAGGGATAAGAATGGGTTAATGTGCCCAGTAAAGAAAAGATAGAGGTTTCTCCCTTAGAGTAGATTAAGAGAAAGGTTTGTTAAGAGGCCAAGAGAAGAGTTAGAGAAGAGGTTGTTAAGAGGCTAAGAGAAGAGTAAGAGATAGGATACGACAAGAGCCTGTTAAGAGGATAAGAGCAAAGTAAGAGACAGAATAAGAGAAGATCTTGTTAAGAGGCTAAGAGCAGAGTAAGAGACAAAGTGAGAGAAGAGCTTGTTAAGAGGCTAAGGGTCAGAGTAAGAGACAGAGTAAGAGAATAGCCTGTTAAGAGGCTAAGAGCAAAGTAAGAGAAGAGCATGTTAAGAGGCTAAGAATAGAGTAAGTGACAAAGTAAGAGAAGATCATGTTAAGAGGCTAAGAGCAGAGTAAGAGACAGAGTAAGAGAAGATCATGTTTAGAGGCTAAAAACCGAGTAAGAGAGAAGTATAAGAAGAGCTTGTTAAGAGGCTAAGATAAGAGTAAAAGGAAAAGGTTGGAGAAGAAAGATAGAGTATAAGAAAGAGAAGGAAAGAAAAATAAGAAAAGACATCATAATAACTCACAAGACACATTGTGTCTCGTGCTGCATAGATTTTATGTTTTGCAGGTCCAAGTTGTAGCAACCGTTATACCAGAAGAGAAGACATGAGCACAACGAAGGAATAAATAGTAAGTTAATATTTATGTAATGTCATTGTTGTTCATTATATATATATATATATATATATATATATATATATATATATATATATATATAAAGATTTTAGTGTACACCCATAATTCATCCTGGGAAGTAGAAGGTTTAATTTGTTTTCCGCATTATATGTAAAACTCTAATATTTCCCATAGAATATATGTATAGAAGATTCGGGTCGTTAAAGTAAGTATTGCTCCATGCTACTTAAAGTCAATCTACAATGAAATGGAACTTCTAGACTTAAAAAACATTACCCTAAGTGTGACAAGAACCAATGAATGTTGCCATGAAAGAACAAAGTACATTCAGTATAAAAATAAGTTGGTGGGGAAGGTCATGTGCAAACCTGAAAACATGATAAGGCTAGGATAAAAAAAAGTTATATCAAACTCGTTCATTGTTAGTGAAATTTTGTTTCAAATTATTAGAAAACGAGACATTTGTTGAACACGATATTGCTTTAAATGGGAAGTTTTCTTTGCTATCACATCACAAAATGTGTAGGGATGTTGGTAAATATTGCATAGAGAAATAATAAGTTACTAGGCTACTTGCACATCATCATGTCAAAGGGTATACTACATGGTTGTTACAACTCATTTCATAGATGACAATTGTATAATGCATAAACATATTATTAACTTTAGAAACATAGTTAGTCATAGGGACAAGGATACGAATCGTGATTTGTTAGAGAGCATAGATGGTTTGGGGATTAAAAACATTATGACGATGACATTTGATAATATGTATACTAATGATAAGGCGGTCGAGTTTTTAATGAAAACCAGCACAATCACTATGATGGTATGAAAGATTTTCCCAAACCTCATTGTGAAAGAAGTTTTAAAACGTAATAAATATCATATTCACTATTCCCAAAAGGAAGGTCGATATATATTATAGAATTGTCATAAAGAGTAATTAAATTTGAAAGGTACTTTAAATATTGTTCAGTCACATCAAAAATGTTTTTATGTCCTGATTGTCCTACTATGTGGAATTCCACATATAAGATGTTCAAAATTTACGACAAATATGTGTTTTTTTAAAGTATGAAGTTAAAGATAGTAGCTTTCTTCGTGATCTTGAGAGATGCTGAACATGAAGACTTTGAGATTCGAAAACAAATTGTTGATTTTTCTAAACAAAGCAAAATTAAAACAAAAATTGAATCATCATCTTTAAAACCGTTACACATTTGTTTTTAGAGATTCTTGATGTAGACAAACATCTACGAATGTAGAAGCGATTTTTTTTTCTCGTATAGCGGCCACTTCAATGAAAGACATTGTTATAGGTAATAAGTTCATAGTTTTTTTTTTTATCATATTATATGTGAAATTTAAAAATTGTTTGGTTTTGGTTTTATGTACAGAGATTAAAGAGGCGATAAGCAGGGAAACGGTAACAGAAAACGAAATATTTCTACAGATAATTAAGTTGCAACATTACATACTTTGTTACATTATTATATTTGTTTTTGAATGTTTTGGAATGTCGATAGACATTTAGTAGTTTGGTTTTGAATTTATGATTTTATAATTATGTCAACATCTTTGGCTATAAAAGTCTTCGATCGGTTAAGTTCACAAAATTAATTGGAATCCTAACTTAGGAGTAAAAAATTTACAACATTTTGAATAATGATAAAAAATAGGAATTTCACCAAATTCAGAAATTTTTATATGTTATTGCTAGGTCTACCATTAGAAAAAGAACAAGTCTCTATGTCAAGTAAATGAGATAATGAATTGGGCTTTTTGGGCTGTTTTGTGAGAATTCATAAATCAGTCCTATTGTGGTGTTGTAACTGAAACCAATCCTGATAACTACACAAACCGGGCCCATTTACAAGCAGCCGGTGTGGTCTTCGGTTCTTAAAATGGTCAAAAAAAATAAACCGGTGCCAACCAGTTTGGTACCAGTTCAGTCCCATGATCATCCCTAATAGTATGCATATATACAATGCTTTCGCATATAGTTAAAAATACACTTGTATCAACCTTGAAACAAGAACAACCTAAATGGCGGGAATTAAAAAGCTTATATGTCATGTAAAATTTGTAAATAGCTAAAGTTTTATAAGACTCTAGGATTTCGCAACAAGAATGTAAAAGAACCCCGTAACTCCTATATGGCTCTTTTGGCTGCTGTAACTAGACTCCAAAGTTAAAACTTCATCTTTTGCTATCTTTATAGACCCTGGTTTAGGGTAACATGTGGTCATTCCTACCATGTAACCAGCTTCATCTCCTGCCTCATTTCCTTCCCCATATATAGCTCTAGAAGAGCAAATAACACGTCCATCCTGAATAAAATTCATAGCTTTTAATTTTAGACTCTATATATCCCCTTAAAAGAAACAACACCTAACTCAAAAACTGAAATAGTCACCTCCCCATATAGTACAGAACCTATCCCACCATTGTGCAGGTGTGCAACACCATACACCACATCACCAGAAGATTGGATGCTTGTAGTTGATCTTCTGGCACTTATGCAATCATTAGTTGCAACTCCAGTGGCACATTGTTCGACATCATACTCTAGCTGTAGGAAAACACGAAAAGATCCAATGTTACACTAAAAAGGTGCCAAATTTTAGACAATTTTCATGTCAAAAGATGAAGTCATGATGAGCTAAATTACCAAGCAATCATGGATTCTTGTGTGCTGCCAACTATCAGTCACATCAAATATATAGATTTTAACGGGTACAATGGAGTCACTCCAATCAACCCACTCAACACTATACTTCATGTAAATGTTTCTTTTCACACTTTTAAGCCCATTTTTCACTTTGCATTGTGTTCCATCATAGCAACAGAAAAAACCTCCCACGTAATTTGGTTTGAAAGGCTGACCATCTTTATCCTCAGTCACATTATACAAACTACATCTGCATCACCATCACCAAATCCATTACACAAAACCCATAAAAATCTCAAACGCTTATAAATGCGTTGAAGTTTGAATTACATAATCATACCTGCATTCAGCACAACCCATAGCATCTACTGCACCCCGAGTGTCGATTGCATGAACATTAAGCATCCATTTCTCTTCATATCCAGCAGGAACTTCAAGTGGGTTACCCACTTCGATTCCATAAGGATCAGGAACATGTGTATCTGTCTTTCGTGTTTCAGATCCTAAACCAAAAAATTGGGAAAGACCACCATTGCATACTCCAGCATTCCTAGCAACAACCAAATCTGATTGATGGAGTCCTAGATTACTGTTATATTTTGGTTCTTTATTACCCTTTCGTTGATAGTATCTTACTACAGCCCAATGATGGAGATACGTTTCTTTAAGGGAAATAGGATTCCCTTCTTCATCGACAAACTCGGCATTGAAACTCTTTATAGCAATATGACCTTTTGGGAACTCTATATTATAGTAAGTTTTATTTGAAACGGAACCCGGATGTTGAGTTATTTTGGGTGTTAAATACACCTTTGATTTCACCCTGTTTTCATGTGTTACACGAGCTTGCGAATTTTGAGCACATATTGCCAATAAGACTATAGCTAACAAGAACACAAAACCTTGGGCACCCCGTGACATGATTCTGGAAAAAAAAAATTTATCCGGGAAAAATTAGAAAATGAACTCAAATTGCATCATTCAAGATTTCATACATTGATAAAGATGGTTGCTACTAAATCGTGAACCAATGAATCGAAAGTTTTAATATTCTTTCTTTAGCTTTGTCGTGTATATGTTTTCATGAACCAATAATTTGATCACCTTATGTTCTTGTTTATGATTGGCGAAAATACAGTTTCAAGATTCAAAACTGGAGCATTTTATGAGCTCTTGAAGTTACCGAAGCAAGATTTAAAGCTTTGAATTAGAAATATTTGAACAGCTTCAAGAACTTTGAATATTGAGTTCACGTTCCATTCGGCAAGAAACCGAAATAGAAATCGATGAATTCATGAGACAGAGATTGATTTCATTTTGAAAACATCTAAGATTTCAATTTTAGAAGCAGTAAATGTTCTGATTCTACAAAGTAACAAAGGTGGACTCCATTTTACTTGGTTCTCATGATCAGAAAATTAAGCAAGAACACAAATATTTTGGATAAAGAACCCTTCAAACTAGCATTGTGCAGAAAAACATCATAAAAGAAATCCTTACCCAGAAAGGTATTGGATGAAAACCTGTAAACTTTACGACTTGACGACAACCTTCTCACAATATTACAGAGGATGGTTCATGGTTCCTAATAGTCGGGATTTATACTTAAAGTTAAAAAAACAAAAGGGTGATGGCAGCGCTTACGACTTAACGTCAACCTTCTCATCTGTCGACCATTGAATATAATATATTTTCCAACCAAAGAGTAATTACTTTACTCAATTATTTTGCATGGTCCCATGGTACAATACAAAGGTGTAATAGATAACTATCAAAGGAGAATCCTGATCTAACTTATCTAGTCCCCTGCACTGGAAACTTTAGAAAACGGGATGTTGAGACTGTCCCAGAAGTGTATGTTTGGCAACCGGTTCTGTTTTTTAAAAAAAAAAAAAAAAAAAAAAAAAAACCTCGATTTATAAAAGGTTTCGTTTGATAATAGGAGCTTTTAGCTTTTAAGTTCCAAAAGTGCCAAAATGCACTTATCTTCGTTCATAGAGCAAAGAAAGATCTTATATGCACTCTCTACTCAAGCTAAAGGACAGATCTGGAACTAAACACAAATCAAAAGCTTTGGAATTCTACAAACTCCATGGATTAGGCCTTAAAGCAACCAAAACTCATTAAAATAGACCAAAAACTCAATTAACCAACTCCTAGATCTATGGATGAAATGAAATAAAGCTTGGATCTTTTGAACTTACAAGGGTCCAAAATGTTGGATTAGGTATCTACGGTCATAACTAAATTGATATAACTTTATAGAATACAGACAAAGTATTTTTTGGATTGCCCTCAATAACTAGAGATAACTAGGAACAACTTTAGGAGTGTGAGAAAATTACTTGTTAATTTATTATTTGATTAATAAATTACTTAGAAATGGTTTAGAATTAATCATAATTAATTGGAAATTAATTTTGGATTAATTTGAACTAATTAAAGGTGGAAAAGGTGAACTGCAATTGTTTGATAATTAAACAAGGAAGGTATTCTACAACTTTGATCAATAGGGTGGACGGTTTTCCTAGGGTTCCAGAAGGGTTTTAGAAGCCTCCTATAGTTGATAAGGACAATTGTCTGGAATAGATTAAATTATATTATTTATCTATTTAATTAGGGTTTATCCTGGAATGTCCATCAGCTATAAATAGGGACCCTAACCCTTAGTATTTTTGGCACTAGCTACTCACAAAGAGAAATCTAAAAATCCTCCTCCATCCTCTTTCCAAATCGTTCCTAGGGTTTCTAGTGTATTGGATGTGAACCATTAGATGCATCCACACTATTGGTGCTAGATTTCCAAGGAAGACTTGAAGATCAAAAGGGTTGCAATATTTGATTATTGCAAAGGTATGTGTTCTAATATTTGTGTTTTTTTATTATTCTTAGATTGGATAAAAGTTTTCATAATATGTTGCTATAATGAGCAAAGACATAGACATCTAGGTTGCATGCCCCCATAAAATAGTTTTATGATTCTTCTGCGTAAATATGTTGTTTTATAACCTAGAAAACTCATCACAGAAGTGATAAGAAGACTGATTACTTTAAATGCAAAGTTCCCTTAATCAATCTTTCTTATTTTCTTCATTCTAGAGCAACAAAAGAACACCAAAATGGACTTTAGGAGAGAGGATGAACTCAAAAATCTTCAATGGAATCTAGGGTTTCTTAAGGAATGTTTGGAGGGTGATGGAGGCTATGAATGACGAAACCCTAGGGGTTTGTGCCCCTTAAATGGGCCCAAAACCCTAGAAAACAATAGCAGCCCAAAGGTTTGAGCGCCCGCGCCTCCAGGTAAAAATTCTGATTCTTTGCGGTTAATTCCTTCATGCTTCGCCCTTTCTTTCTACCTTTTCTTGGACTTTAAAACCACTAATATAAGAATTGAAAAACACAATCAGAACTCAGGTGTTACGATTCTACCTCACTTGAATTGGATTTTGTCCTCGAAATCCGCCTTGGCTAAATTGCAGATGACAACCATACGCAAATATTTCATGACTCCACCAAACCACTCCCTAATTCGATAGATTCGATAAAAGGGTTCTCGAGACCTCTCAGAACCTATAAAGTGCCACCATTTCAAACTTAACCATTTGCACTTACACAACCACAATAGTTACCTCAATTTCCATTGACGATTCTATCAATCTTCTAGCAAAACCACTCAAAATCGGGAACTCCAATAACGTAACCACAACCAAATCCAAAGATAAACTTCACAATACCAAAAACTTATTGGTCTATAACCCTAGAAATCATAAACTAAGATTGATGATTACCTTCTGATATACACATCCCTTAGTCCTTCGACTAGGAACACTCCGTCCGTAAAAAATTATCTAATACCCAATCTGGAACTTGTGCCTAAAAAGGGCTTCTGATGCACACTTAACTTCCTAAAAAGTCATCACTATCCCACTGTTCCCACAATCATACCAATAAACGAATCATAATCTAACGTTGAATCTAAACTCCCATTAAGGCTCAAGCACGCACCCACCTGAATTACTCCGAACTCCATGGTTCGAAGTTTCCAGAACCAGTACTCCATTACTGGTAATCAAACTCATAATAAACAACTCTTATAAACAAATAGGGATCCACAAATGAAAAAATTTAAACATGAACTTCTAATGCACAACTATGAGTTATCTAACAAGTCAACATTCTTCTAAGCGCCCGACCCAAAAGCTGCTAGACACTAAGCCGCGAATAACCCTTCCACAAGGCTTTAAACATTCAAACGGCGACAAGGTAAAACAAGGAACACAAACATATAAACTTTGACAATACAAGTATCGGGTTCCACCCGCACAAGTCGCACATACACAAGCTCATAACATGTCATGACACCATCTAACCATACATCCTCATACAATTTCTTTGCTCAAGCCGTAGCCTTTAATACTAATTCTATCCCTAGTACAAGTACAACCATTATTATTACCGAACACAACCCATGAAGAGAACACAAAAGCCGTCTTAGATCCACTACATTCCCCTGGCTTATTACTCTACTTGAAAAGTGAAGTATCTCGCAATTCGATACCCATACCACATCTAATCGAACACTCAATTCTTATTGCAACATCTACTTAGAGTCTCATCTAATATCACCATCAGGTCAAATTGACGGAAGAACATCAAACCACTAATAGCATGCTCTCATAAATAATTGAAACATGATTCAAAACCTTGGAAAAAATTGGATAGATCTCCGACAATACCCAACTAACTCAGTCAAACTCCCAACCTCGGAGGAAACTCCAAATTTCACCTATAATGATTCTAACAGAACCCTGGTCAAACCGACCCAACTATCGTCCTTACCGATATGAAATCCCATAACTGAACTTCATGCAACTTAGAGTTACACATGGAGAATTTTGACAAAACGCCGCTCCAACATCTGAACTTCTATTTCCTCATGCTATATCATTCGACTAACCACAGAAGTTAGTGATAATCACTTCAGGCGTGTTCGGAAAAATTAGTTGGTAGCGGATAGCTTATAGCTTTTTGTTAAACGCTACATGAAGTAGCATTTGGATTTGGAGCGTTTTGTTTAAACTAAACGTTAGAAGCTTGTAGTGTCGAACGAGGCTTTCTGTTCAAAACAAAGCGTTTTGTCAAACGCTAGAAGCTAGAAGCTCTCAAACGCTCCGTGCCGAACATGCTTTTAAACCAATGAGTCCAACAAGATTCGATCAATCTCAATCGAAAAACCTAACAATATTAATGGTGCACAAGCGAGACTTAAAATGCATCACCCATATCCTTATGGCCATAACCCAATATAAAAGTTGTCCTCACACACTCAATTACTCACATACTCACGTCGGTACCCAAGGGATCATTAATAATGAAAGTACACATACCTACTACTAAGATTGGTCAACAGCCGCCAATCCTTGATAATACATAACCAATCCTTACACAACTTAACCAAACTCTTTAAATCAGGTTCAGAACTTGAGTTTCCCATCTACTTTTCATGAAAATACTCGGCGCTCCCATGGGGAACCACTTGCCAGAGTGAGTTCCCTGTCTAGCAACTCCTATGCTGCAAGGACAATTTTTTCATCCCTAATGACATCAACCCATTCGATTTCTCGAGTTGTACCTGTGATCTGATCGACTCCTTAATTATCTCTGATGCTTGGAGGGAACATCAAAAAATCCTTGAGGAACATAACAAGAGAAATTGTAACCCTAAGCACTCCAGTGATAGACTGATTTATCTCCCTTCCCGCAACAAGAAGCCTGAACTAATAATCCTGCATACTAGAACCACAAATTTTTTTGACCCATGACACAATAACCGAAATTTGAACGGTCCTTTGAACTCCAAATCTAAATACTCAGTTCTCCCCCCACTTAGGGTTCAAACTACTACCGTACTTTATACATAACCATAAGATCCACGAACCAGCCCAACTATTACATACAATCTTTGATTCTCAAAGACTACACCTAATATAGAATCATATAGTCCTTCGAGTAAATAACTCTGCTCTAGAACCCTATCAACCAAGAACATGCAGAAGTGCTAAGTTAAAATTCTAAGCCTATGTAATTCAGTTATGCATAGTCCCCTGGAAATTGAAAGAAATTCTTGAATGTCTCACCAAAGATTTCAATGTTCTCAACTAACATGAAGCCCTTGCTTACAAAAAGCGATCACGTCGTACAATTCGATGAAAAATCAACAAGACTAAAACAATAGCAGATCAACCAAAAATGAACCGACACACAAGCATATTGTAAGTCCCAAATCTGCTTGTGTATCAATCAGATCCGCTTGATGGTGTGGAATCCCAATCAAGCGGATGATGCCAGATCTAATGAAGAAGACGGAGAAGAAGAATAATATGAATCTATGATGTATTCAAGATTGGAATGATGAACAATACACAAGATTCACACACACTTGCACCTTCTCTCCTTTCTCTCTCTAGAACACCTTAGAATACACACACTTAAGCTCCTCTAGCCGTACACTCATTTAACACTCCTCACCCCTAACACCTATATATATACTTGGGGAACATGGGCCGTAAATGGGTTCATGGCCGTGAACCAGTTCATGGCCGTAAACACCCATTGGGTCGTAAACACACCCGTGAACACATCTAACCGCAAACACCAAGGATGTTT